CCATCCAGGTACCCAGGGAGCAGATGGACAGACAGACAGGTGCAGTGACTCACAGAGACCCTCTCAGACCCTTATAGATGGGCAGGGGTGAGGTAGAGGCAGGGGAGGGAAGAGAGGAGTGCGAGTGAACGCTTCTCTCCTGTGCCCGCCCCACTCCCTGGGCCACCTTTGCCCATCAAGGGCAGGAAAGGTCACCTGGCAGCTATTGCACTTCCCCGCCCCTCCCTCAAGCCTCAGGGCTGTCTCCCCCCAGGTCCAGGTTCATCTTTTCATGGCCCCCTCCCCAGGCCCCCACCCAAAGTGGCCCTTCTCCCGCGCAGCCCAGCAGGGCCACACTGTGCGGAGGACACGCGGCAAATACACACAAACAACAAATTCACACATGCAACCATGAAAGACTGACACACGTCACTCGGGGCCGGGCGGACCCCGGCACACACACGCACACACGCACACACGCACGCGTGCGCACACACACTGGGTAGCGTCCAGGCTGGAATTGGGGGAGGGGGAGCTGGGGGGCTGGGAGGAGGGCCGACCAGGCTGCAGGGATGGAGGCAGCGCGGGAGGCAGGCGGGTGGCGCGGGGAGCTAGCTGCTCTTCACAACACAATCGCCGTCTGTTGTTATAGCAACTCAGCCCCCAAATCGTGAAACGGATATTACAGCCTCCAGAGGGGGAAGGGCAGGAGGGGGCTGAGGATGGGAGAAGGGCCAGAGCTGGGGGCCCATTAGGTCGGGGAGCCTAGCAGGAAGCAGGGCTGCTGCTGAGAAGTCACAGGGTGAAAGGACAGGTGACCCCACATTGAGTAGGCCAGGGGGAGCCGGGTCCCCCTGGGAGAGATGGGCTTAGGGTCTGGGAACCCTGAGGGAGGGGGCTGAGGCCACTGCCAGATCCACAGATTATTTTGCTTTGCAGGTAGGTGCTGGGATGCTCAGGTTTCACGCTGGGACAGTCCTACAATTGCTTTGGGGCACAACCCAGCTGTGGGGGGAATGCTGGAGGTAGCTCCCACACTCAGGGCTGCTCTAAGGAGTCTTCAAACCCCAGGAGGGGCTTGATCCAACTTCAAAACCTTTAGAAGACCCCCACCCCACCCTTTCAAACCTTAGAAGTGGCCTTAGCCTCCATTAGAGAGCTGTGACCCCCAAAACCTTTGTGTTGCAAACACAGGAGGGAAGAGCCGGGTTGGGAGAGGCCAGCCGGAGGCTGAGAGCAGGATCAATATACATTTCCTCTGGAAGTCACTGTCCTTCCAGCTGGCAGAACGCCCTAAGAGTGTGGCCCCCTCCCAGAGGTACCCAAGACCAGCGGGAGCTCAGGCTGTCCTGGCCCCTGCCCCCTTCCCCCACTGCCAGCACTTTCCTGTCTGCCCCCCTCCCCCCATTCTCAGCAGAGAGTTCCTCATCGCTGGCTGTGTTCAAGCAGGGACTGAGAGGCCACCTGTCACGCAAGGCTTTTCCACTGAGGCCTGAAGGCGAAGAGCCCAGCGATTCTGGGTGCAAAGACATGCTAGTGTCAACTTCAGACCCCCAAGATTCTGGACACATCCCTAGAGTCATGTTCCAAGGCTTTCTGGTTCTAAGGCTGTTTCTCCCAAGATTGCAATCCCCCCGTGATTCCAACACATGAGATCCCAGACCCCCCAAGATTGTGACTACAAAGTTCTAGACTCCAAGATTCTAGGCCCTGCACCAGCTCCCCTCTCCCGAGGACTCGAGGCTCTATGGTCCAGGGTTCACGACACCGGCCTTTTATTTCCATCTGGAAAATACAAATATTCACAAGAATCTGTACAACCTTAGGGAGACCAGCCCTGCCCTGCCCTCAGCCGCATGCCACCCTCACACCCCACACCTGGCCCCAGCCTGCTGCCCCAGCACCCCAGCTCCCTGGTCTGGTCTGAGACTTTTCTCCAAGGCAGGCATGAGTGCTTGATCCAGTCACAGCTGGGAAGAGAAAAACAGAGATTGTGAGGAAGGCCCACCCCCCCAAGTCGGAGTCCACCTGCCCAGGGCCATCTGGTCAGAGGACCCACTTCCCAGACCCCAGATCACCAGCCCTCTGTGTGTGTGGGGGATGCCTAGCTCAAGCTGAACAAGGACTCACCATCAATTACAAGTGGATGTCGAACACTCCATCCTCCACCGTCTGTACCTCCTCCTCTCGGATCTCTATGGGGGGGGTCACCAGACCAACTCCTGGGTCCATGTGTTCTTGACAGACCCCCCCCCAGGAGGCACCCCACCCCATCCCGGAAGCAGAGCCATCCACCAAAAATCAATCCACTGAATGACCAAACGGCCCAGCTTTTGAGGCTCATTCTTCGTTTTTATTTTGCCGCAGCTTTTTTGCAGCCACAGATTTGTCAGTGCAGTTTGCTTAGATGTCAATTTTGTGTGTATTTCACAGTTTAGACCCCAGCACTTCTGGGAGGCTTGATGCAAATGGTTTTATCTTTTCTGTATTTGAGGACTTACATGTGTGCCTGTCTGTTTTTGAGGATTTATGCCAATCCAAACCTTTGTGGTCACTGCGTTGGACCCCGGTTTAACATAGTCATTCAGTCTGTTCTCAGCAAAACAATCACTTGGCAAATTGTCATTCAGCAAACTGACCTAAAACCACTGCAGAACCCAAGAGAGCCACGGGAGACTTGGGGGCCAAGGAATTTTTCTTAGAGCAGCCTCCAAAGCAGTCAAATAGGATAATGCAGACAAGTGGCTCACATAACTCCCTCTCCAATCCACTGTCAATCCCCCTAACAAAATAAGAGTCTACTGAAATCGTGAACCTTTCTTCATTTTATTCTTTTTTATATATCAGTCTCTTTCTTCCTCAACTTCAAAAGGTCAAGGTCTCTGGCCACATTCTGGCCCCTTACCTGACCATCCCTTCTTTGTCACTCCACCAAAATAAAAGAATTTCAAACTGTGAAATGACTTCTATTCTGAATAAGTTAATACTTTGCCACAAAGGCCCTTCCCCATCCTTCCACAGTCCAGTATAGAATGAGAACTCCTCCCTCTTACCTGGAGGTCGGGAGCCTCGCCTGCCTGGACGGGGCAGGGAGAAACTGAAGGCTCGATGATGGTGGGAGTGTGTGGGTGAGGGTGAGGGTGCAGAACCCTCCAGGCTCACACTCTGGGCTCGGCGGCGGCACTCGACTGACAGGCGGTCCTTGCACTGCTTGTGGCAATTCACACCACAGGCTGGTGGGGTCAGAGGGGAAGCCAGCCAAGGTCATCGGTCAGAACACCACATGCCCTTCTCCAGGTCTACACCTCTCCCCAGGTTCCTTAGCTCCTGAGCAGTTGCCCCACCAAAATAAGAGTATCCTGCTGATGTGCTCTTTCCATCCTACTTGCCTATATATGCCCTCTCCAAAGCTCTCTGTGCCTGACCAGCTGTGTCACCCAAACAAAAGTCCTGTTAAAGGCTCCTCATCATGCCTGTCTGCAAGGTACTTCACTCTTTCACAAATGTCCCACCAAGATAAGGGTCCCACCCAGACAGTATCTCGGGGCCTGGGTGGGGAGGGAAGGCCTGGGGAGGGGCATGAAACCTCAGTGGTCCTACCATTCCATCTCTCCATCTCACCTCGGCATTTGAGGCCCTGCTTGTAGATGCCCAGGATCTGAAATAAAGGAGGGTCCGTACTAGGGGGAGGGACTTAGAGGCAGAGACTCAACTTCTTCCGTCTCAAGGGCAGGGACTGTGAGTGACCCTCTCTGTGGCCTCAAGGTCCCTCCAGGTTAGAGCAGAACAGCAGAGGAGGCAGGTGCAACAAAGGCTGGCCAGCGAGGGCTCTGGCTGGGGTGGGGCCGGCAGGTGGGCGGGTGTGGTGGGCGGGGTCTATAGGGCCGGTGGGCGGGGCCAGGGCTGGGGTGTGGCTTGGGGAGCTCACCAGGGCCTTGCAGTGGCGGCAGGCAACGGGGCGCAAGGAGTTGCTCTCGTGGAAGTTGTGTACGAAGCCCATGCGACCGCCCAGCACGGAGCTGGAGCGCAGGAAGTAGGAGACCATCTCCTCCCTGCTGATGCAACCATCCCTGCGGGGCAGGGCCGTCTCAGCGGGGAGGGGGCCTTCCACAACCATTCTACTGGGCAAACCCCCTCCCAAATAAAAGGCCACCCCAACTCCCAGCTGAATTGTGTCCGGAGCCCAGATGCAAGGAAGAGAAAGAGCACTAGGCTTGGAGTCAGGCGGATGTGGCAACTGCTACCAGCTATGGTTGATCTTGGGCAAGTCACTTTCCCTGGGTTTCCTCTCCTGAAAAATGGGGTCATACTTCCTGGGCGCTCACTTCCACCGAGTTAGGGTGTAAACTGTGCACTTTCCCATGGGATGATCATCAGCCTCCCTTTCCCAAAGTGAGCTCTGTGGAACCCCAGTCGGGAGGCCTGGGGATTAGATCTCTGATGCATCCCCCCACCCCCAGGTGAGCTCGGGGGAAGCAGCAGGTCTCCCTCTGCATTATCCTACCCAAAAGACACCTGGCTTGGGGGGCTTCCCGGGAACCTCTTTCTCTCCTATCAATACATTTTGGAGAAAGAGTGAGTATGTGCTGCGGAGACAGATTCAGCTCAAATCCCACCTCTCCTACTTTCTGGCCATGTGACCTCAGCTGGCTAATCTCCCTGTGCCTCAGTTTCCTCTTCCAGAGATGGAGATAAAGAGAAGGGATTTTGTGGGATTGAGAGAGTGACGATGAGGCATAGCGTCTATGGGTTAATGGACAACCTGCAGGGAGTTATCTCCATAGGGTGGGCCCTTGTTGGAACCCCCATCATTGAATTTGGGGACCCATAACAATGCAAATGGGCTTTCCAATCAATGAGACAACCAGTCATTTAGGAAAAAAATAATAAACTTAGAGTCCCTTCCCATGCTGGGCAGGAAATCCAGATTCCCACTAATGTGAATAATAAACGTATCAAAGTATCTGAAAGAGAATAATTTTGTCATCTTGAGGAAGGAGAGTCTTTCTACACATAACACAAAGGAAAAGACTGACATATTGAGCACACAACATTTTTTTTCAAATTTTATATGGAAAAAGACAACATAAATGACAGACTGGGAGAAAATATTTGCAAACACATTCAACAGCAAAGGGTTAATATCCATTAACAGCGATTCTAAAAAATCAATGAGAAAAAGACCAACAAACCCAGTGGGATAATGGACAAAGAATGTGAACAGGCAATTAACAGAAGACCTATCAGTGGCCAACAAACATATGAAAAGATCTGCCCCTGCTAGTATTAAAGAAATGCGGATTTAACCAAGACACCCTTTGCCAATTAGCCTGGCAAAATTGTAAAGCTTATTATAGCATCCAGCGTTGGCAAGGAAGCCAGGAAATGGGCCCTGGTACACACTGCTGATGGGGGTGCAGGCTGGCACAACCTTGCCTGAGGTCACTTTGGCAGTCTCTCTCCTAATTTAGAATGTGCATATCTTTTGATCCAATTATCCCACTTCTAGGAATTTCTCCTACAGAAATAGTGGCCTGAGCGCATCGGCACAAAGCTGTTCCCAGCGGCCTGGCAGATATTAATAGCGGAAAACAGGAGGATGACGGGGTAAATGACAGCCGAGCCACAGGGCAGGCTACTCGCTTCTAACGAACGAGGAACGAGGTAGACCGCTGGTAGACCACAGGCAGCGGCCGGGGGAGAGGCCCTTAATAAAGGGTTAAGTGAAAAACAAAAGCAAGGCCGGGCGTGCAGACCCATGGAGGCAGTGCCAAAATGTTGTAAATTAAACACCAGAAACCAAACTGCTAGAAATACCTACTGCCTGGTTAAAGTATATCCAAAGTGGCTTTAAATGCATTGGTGAGTTTGCAAGAAAGAGATGGAAACCCCCAACTTTCAGCAACAAAGAGGGAGTTTAAAGCTGAGACAGTAAGGTGGGGGTTGGACACAGCAGTTACAGGGGAGGGGGTGCTGGTCTCCCTCTTCTTAGTTGGGAGTTAGGTGCTGGGTCAAGGTCTGAGGTGTATGAGAGGTGGGGAGTTAAGGCTGGGCCCGCAGCATGAAGCTGAGGGTTCAGAGGTTTCCAAAGGCTGAACCCCATAAGTGGGGCCTGGAGAAAAAAACCACCCACCCACTGGAGAGCCAACCAGGAGCTGTGGCTCGACTGGGGGGCAGAGGGAGGGACAAAGCTACTACAACTCATGCCCCTGGCACAGCAAGATTTATACTCTAATCCTGTTTGTCCATGAGACAGACACAGACGAGCAAAATCCTTCTCAATTTGCACATGCGTGGAAAAGGAGGAGGAGGGATGCTCGCGTGCCCCGCCAGCAGCGCTGCTAAGTGCCACTGACGAAACCTCTCTGGGCGGCAAGGAAGGAAGGGGCTTTTCACAACCTGATACACTTTGTTCACTGTAAACCCAGTTTATTACCTGGATTTTTTTTTGAACCACAGATCTTTGTCACATGGAAAAAAGCCAGAATTTTGAAATCTAGCCAACATTTAAAAAACACATCAACCTGGGATGGAAGGACAATGTTGACTGGAATTTGTCCGCTCAGCAAAACAGGGGTCTGATGGGGTGGCAGGGGGCTCATTTAACCTACTTTCCAGAGCCAGCTGTTTGTCCCAGTCGTCAGCATGTGAACTGTTGATAAGCAAGTGGGTGTTGCTCATTACGGGCCTTTCTTATCTAGTCATTAAAGCGGGCTGCCCAGGAGCTCCACTTGCCTACACTCGGCCAGCTGTGCACACCACAAATAAAACAGCCCTGATGTGGCCGCCGCGGCCCCCCACCCCCGCCCACTGCTTTGCAAGATTCAGGTGGAACCCCCCACCCGCCTCTGCCTGAATGAGTGAGCTAACCCTGAGCCTCCAGGCAGGTGGTCACCCCCACCCCAGGCGCCCACCCCCCATCGGCAGCCCCCTCAGCCGTGGTGCCTGGTTCAGAGGCCTCATCTCAGCCTTGCACTTGAGGGAACCAACGCTGAAAGGGAAGTGAGACTGCCTTCCCTCTCCCCAGCCCCCAGCCCTCCTCACTGGTTCTGGTCGAGGTCCCCAAAGGCGCTGAGGTAAGGGAAGTTCCCTCGGATGATCTGGAACTCTTCCTGAGAGATGTGGCCGTCCCCGTCGACGTCAAAGTTCCGGAACACAGACTACAGAGAGGCCGGGGAGAAAAAGGGCTCATCGCCTGTCCTGCCCACATTCCCACCACCTCACCCCCCAGGCCCACCCCATGGCTGTGCCCATGCACCCAAAGACTGGGTGCTGACCCTTGACCGTGGCCCTGCTGGAGGCCCCAGGGCAGAGCCTGGCCAAACCCACCTTCACAGGCCACTACGGGCCAGTGTCTCACCTCCACCATCTTCTCGATGTGCTCCACCATGACTGCTTGGTCCAATTTGGGTTTGGCCGCTGAGGTCCACTCCTCGAGCACTGGGGGACGAGGAGGTGGGGTGCAGCTTGTGGGGCTGGTGGGCTGTGGAAACAGGCAGGCCTGAGTGAGGGCCAGAGGAGAGGAAGCCCAGAGTCTAGCAAAGCAGTGAGGGGAGGCCCAGGGAGAAGGGAGGCTGCCCAACAAGCAGGACAGCTGAGGAAGCCTCCCACATTCCCTCACATCTGGGATTCTCAGGCTGGGCAGAAGAGGATGCAGAGGGGCGAGCTGGGGCCCCTGGCCTCACCGAGGACTTGGAGCGCGGCTCCCGCTGCAGGGACAGCTGGTAGAGCTCATCCTCCGTCTGATACTGGTCCAGAGACACCTGGGACACACGGGTATGACCTCACCCCCCTGGCCCGGCTGCTTCAGGAGCCCACAGCCCAGAGCCCAAGGTCAAGGATCCACCAAGGCCATAGCTCCGCTCCAAGCCCAGACCGGACGCTAGACTCGGGACAAAGCCTCAAACATGCCCAACAACCACACAGCAGCTGGCGCATAGACCAGAACCCACAGCTTGGCCCCAAACCCTCACCCGACACTCTATCAAGATCCCAGCCAAGAGTCCAAGTCAGAACCAAGCCAAGAACTCTGAGATTCACCCCTAACCTGGAATCTGACCCAGTGTCCAGGCTCCACCTCAGACTTCAATGCTGCCTGGCCCCAGCCCAGGCCCTAGAAGCAGCTAAGAATTCACACCAAACCCAAACCTCAGCCCAGTCCTTGTCCAAATATGGACTAGAACCCAATTCCTATCCAAGGCCAAGCCCAGAACCTCAGAGCCTAGGAACCACACCTATAACCAGTGTCCAGAGCCCGACCCCAAACCTTGAACACAACTCATTACCAGGTCCTCAGCCCAGGCCCCAGGCCTTGCCTCAAGCCCACAGGCAGGCTCCATCCAGAGCCTGAACCCAGCTCAGTTCATTCCTAACCCTAGAGGCAAAGCTGGATCTCAGTTCCTCGATTAGAACACCTGATAAACCCAGGACCAGGTGTGGGGGGTCACCTGGTAGCCAGCCCTCTAGCATGCCTGCCCCAGTCCCTCACCGTGAGCAGGCTCAGCAGGTCGGGGTTGGCCTGCACGGGCGGCCGGAGGCTGGTAACCATGGCCAGCTCCTCCAGGATGCAGAAGAGCTGCTTCATCTTGGCCCCATTAAGTCGAGTCCGAGCCGGGTCCAGCCAGTCAGGCAGGGCCAGCTGCAGGGCCACCAGGTCCTTGAGGTGCACGCCCAGGATGGGGAAGCGAAAGCCCACACAGGCTGCCAGCCTGCGTCGGTAGTTGCCATAGTTACCCGTGGCCGTCACTAGTTCTGTCAACCCCTCCCAGAGCTGCGGGCAAAGGGCAGAGAGTCACACGCACATCCTCAGCTCAACTCCCCAGCCCCTCAGCCCTGAGGGAGAGTCAGACAGGGCAGGGTGAGGGGTTAACATCCTCCCCCACCACCACCCCCACTGCCCATGGCTCCCCCAGCCTGAGGGTCAGAGTTCCTAAGTCTTGAGCTCCGGGGAACACCCACGGCCAAATACCGCACCTCGGCACCAGGCCTGGGCACAGATTTCACCATCATTTAACAGGAGAAACTGAGGCTCGGCAGCAAAGCAGCACAGGACGACAGTCTAGAAGGAAGTTCTCAGCTGCACCATTTGTAACAACCCAAACAGGGAAAACTCAAATGCCCATTAGGAGGGCAGACACGCAGCTGGGGGCAGATTTGTAATAAAATACTCAGTGGCAGCAAAACACAAGCAAGCAATGGGCCTCCCCGGTGGCGCAGCGGTTGAGCGCTGGGTTGCGAAGCTGCCCACAGCCTCTGCAGCGCCGGTTCAATCCCCGGCTGCTCCCCGGCCACCGGAGGAGGGTCCCACATGGCACGCAGACCTCTCCTGCTGCCCGCTACTCCCCTCAGCAGTGTACTTTGGTCCTTCTGCCTGCTCTGCTCCCCGCTCTGGCTCTGGTGAATTGTCTCACCCTCTGCGCTTCTGACTGTACCCAGTGCTTGTATAAATAAATAAAAATAAATCTTTAAAAATATAATATAAAATAAAATTCCTTCTAGGTAGAAGTTTAAAAAAAAAAAAAAAAAAAAAAAAAAAAAAAAACACAAGCAAGCAACGGCCCCACACTACAAAACGAAAGAAGCCAGACTCTGAATCACGTCGACGGGTTCCATATGTACAAGGTTCAAAAATGCGCAACAACCCCCTCCAAAGGTTCTGGGGTGCTGCTCTACAGAGGAGCAAGGTTGTCGTCACAGAAATCAAGGCGTCACTCCCTCTGACCTTTGACAGGGAGGGAGCCCGCCGCCCTAAGCTGGGGGGGGTGCGCGGGGGGCGCTGGCAATATTCCATTGCTTGACCTGGTGCCGGTTACACAGGTGTTTTCTTAACAATTTAAACATGTACACGTTTTCTACATTTTCCTCTCTCTCTGTTTGTGAGTCGATATGTTAAAACATAAGAAGAGGAAGAAAGCACAAGCTTTGGAGCTGGGCAGAGCCCCACTGTCACTTCCACTGCGCAGCCCAGCACAAGCCTTTCACCCCGAGAGCCTCAGTTTCTTCATCTGTCAAACGAGGACAGGAATGCCCAGGCGAGGCCAAACAGGGCAGCCCCCCAGCCCTCGGCACCTTGACGGTCTCAGGGCTGACGTGGCTGTGGGTCTCCTTGAGGCGGGAGATAGAGCTGTGGCTCAGGCCCCCGACCACCGCCATGAGCGTGTTGAAGTTCTGGAGCTGCAGCAGCTTCTAGGGACACGGGGAGGAGGGAAGCAGCGAGTCACCACGTGGGCCCAGGATCTGGCCCGGCCTTTCCGGAGAGCAGGCAGCAGGTGAGTGGAAAGGGAGGACAGGCGGGGTGGGGCCGGGGGGAGGTGGGGGGCACCTCTGCCACGTGGACGAAGTGTGTGATGACCAGGGCCCGCTGCGGGGCGGTGGGCTTGCTGAGGATCATGAGCTGCACCCACTGGGAGACGCTGTTGAAGAGGGCAATGAAGCGCTCCAGGACCGGGTTGTCCACGGTGCAGCCATGGGTGACGAAACTGTGATAGTCCTGGAACTGGGGGAGGAGTGGCCTCAGGCCCCACGGCCCCTCCCCTCGGCCTCAGGCCAGGACCCCTGACCCACCCTGGGACCCTGTGTCTCCCCAGGGACCCTGTCCCTCCTGGCCCCCCGCCCCCACTGCCCTGCACCGGAGCCCAGGCCCTCCGCCCGCACCAGGATCTTGCAGAAGGAGCGGTACTCCAAGAAGGTGAGATGCTCCGCCAGCTCCAGGGGCTCCAGGTGGTCAAACAACAGGGACATCTTGCGCTTCTTCTGTTCCACGGGGTTCCGCTGGGTCACCTGCCGCTTCCACTTGTAGGTGGGGCTGGGGGGGGCAGGGGTAGTGAGCCCCTGGTGGGAGAGGCCCCATCCCTCAGGCCCCACACCAGCACACGTCCCACTCCACCTGAGGACCTGAGCAACGAGGCCCTGACGTCCCCGCTGCCGCCCCTGTAGCCGCCCCTCATCAGGCCTCAACACACACAGCGGAAGAGGGACCCTGGGCCAGGCACTGTGGGGGGGCGGGGGGGACAGAGATGAGCAAGACACAGTTCCTGCCCTCGAGGGGCTCACAGCCTACTGAGGGAGACAGACACACATGCGAACCATCACAGGACAGGGCTGCTGAGCAGAGCGCTTGGCCCAGGGCTCCGCACAAAGTGAGGGAACAAACGGGACAGGGAACTGCCCACGAAAGTCCTGAGCCCATGGACACCCCACACTGAGCTGTTTAGACAACACGAGGAGGAGGAAGCCGGACAACATGAGCAGAGCGAGGTGGTGGGAAGAGGCAGGGGCCTGGGGATGGCACGAGGGCCTGGGCCGCAGCGCCAGGGAGTGGGATGGCGTGGGCCGGGGAGGATGGCACAGGCAGGCGGAAGAGCCGGAGACGCTGAGAGGCATCTGTCCCCAACTGAGGCATTCTGAAGGCGACAGGGAGTCCCAGGAGGTGTTTAAGCGAGAGAGTGACATGACCCTCACTCAGTCAATTCCATAAACATTTATTAAGCGCAGGTGGTAGAGGACGCTGAGTGCCCCCCAGCCCCGCGAGGCCCCCCACGCACACGCTCTCGATGTCGATGAGGCTGCTGTGCCGCCGGTTCCCTTCTTGGTCCAGCAGCGCCTTCAGCTCCTTGATCTGCTCCGCCAGCTCCGGGTTCAAGTCAAACTCCGCTGGGAATGCTGAGATCCAGTACCTGGGGGGCGGAGGGCAGTCACCCGAGGGGCCCTCGCGCACCATCCCCTGGGACTGCGGTCCCCCCATTTTGGGGAAAAGGGTGGGTGGGAAAGAGTCTCAAACCTAGGTTCCTCCTCCCCGGGGCGCTTTCCTTCCCCACCCACACTGGGGGGATCAAGATCCCAGGCAGGAGTCAGCCTGCGGCAGCACCCCGGAGCCATCCACTCCGCAACCCGCTCTTTCCACTCTCAGGGACTCTGAAGCCCGAGAACAGGGAAGTCAGGGGGGGACAGAGCCCCCAGGAGACTCACCTGACCAGGTGGCATGTTTTCACCTGCAGCGAACTGGAGTGGTCCTTGCGGGATTGTTGGTAGGTGAAGGAGAGTTAAGGAGAACCCGGGCAGGGTCTCATTTTCCAAAGGGAGGCGCGGGTGGGGCCCCAGTTCAGGTGGGAGGCTGAGGGCGGGGCCTGTTTCTGGGGGAGCTGCTGGGGCGGGGCCCAAGGCTGGGGTCCGGGCAGCTTGGGGCGAGGGCTTGGGCGGGAAGGGGCTGGGTTCGAGGGGAGGCCGCGGGCAGGGCCTGTGTCCTGGGAGAGAGGCCAGAGGTCGGGCCAGAGCCCGAGCAGGGGCAGGTCCCGGCCGGGGGGCGGCGAGCGAGGCCTCAGCCGAGCCGTCGGGCGGGGCCCAGGCCCGGGTGGGAGTCGGGCGGCTCCCGAGCTGACGCCTGCGGCGCGGGAGGGGCCCACGGCCGGGGCGCGAAGCCCCTTCTCCGCCTGGGCCTGGGCGGCGGGAGTCGCTCCCGGACTCGGGTGCCGGCCCGGGCGAGGCCCGCGAAGGATATATGTGGAGCAGCTTCGCGGCCAGCTGAGAGGAGGGGATGTACCAGGGGTGCATCATGAGGAACATGCGCACCAGCTGCGGGTCCCGCACCTTCCCGGAGTCATCTAGCTCCGGAGGGCCGAGGAGAAGCCGGGTGACCGCAGGTCCTGCAGCCGCGGCCCCTAAACCTCCCCGGCCACGCGCGGGGCGTCTGCTCCCCAACCCTCCTGCCTTCGCAGGACCAGGAGGCGGGTGGAGAGGAAAGGTGGGGTGCGCGAGGGAAGGCGGGGGGGGGGGGGGGGGGCAAGGAGCTGCGGGAGGAGAGCGGCTCCGCGCCCGGAGGGGAACCAGCTGGGCGGAAGGAGCCTGGGTTCCCCGGGGTCAAGAATCCAGAGGTCATTTCCTGAGTGCTTGGGGGAGGGGGCACCCCGCCACCAGATAAGCTGCCCCCCATCAGCCGGAAACAGCTCCCAGGCCGGAGACAGGGAGTTCCTCCGGATCCCCCGGAGGGAGATAGCGCCCCTCGCGCCCCCGGGCCTGGGGACCCCTCCGGCCGCCCCGCGCGCTGGGGGAGGGGAACGCGCCGCTTTTCCGAAGCGCGCGGGCGCTGCCGCCCCGTGGAAGAGCAGCTCTCCCCGGGGGCTGCGGGAGGGGGGCCTCGGGGGCCCGGCCGGGCCCGTCCCGGGAGGGGGCGCGGGGGCAGACGCGCGTGCCCCCCGCCACTCACCGAAAGCCTCGATGCAGCCGCGAAGCAGCTCCTCCACCGTGCAGCCCTTGTCCAGGTCCAGGGTGCCCGCCATGGCGCGCGGGCAGGCTGGGCAGGCAGCGCCGCGAGCGCCTCCCGGGGCTCGAGCCGGACCCCTGGGCGCGAGAGGCAGCGCTGGGGCGCGGGCGCGGGCGGCGGAGCCGCCGGGGCAGGACCGGGCGGGGCGGGGCGGGCACGCCCCCTGCTGGGCAGGGGCGGAGTCGCCGCGGGGCCGCTCCGGGGATAACGGTCCGGCCCGGCCCGGGTGGTGCAACCGCAGTTGGGAAACCGGCGGCCCGGAGGCTTCCGGCCCGCCCTCGGGGGCGCGGGGGGCCCGGCGGCTCCCCCGGATGGAGGCGAGCCGGAGCCGCAGGCCTGGCCGGTGCCCCAAGCCCGCGGGCCCGCTTCTCGCGCCCCCCCAGACACCTGCAGCGCCCCGCAGCGCGGCGCCGCGCCCCCCCGCCCCCTCCCTGCACAGCCTCCCTTCCCCCGCAGGGTTATTTTGGGAACCCAGAGCCTGAGGGGACCTCGGAGGAATTTCTCCCTGGGATGGGAGGGGGGAACCCAGGCGTCCCGCCCGCAGCACCCCCTCCAGGGCTCCCGGGGAGGGAGGCGGAGCCGCGGGGCTGCGGGGGGGGCCCCAGGGGCCTGCCCTCGGGTAGGCGGGCCGTGGTGCGGAACATTCCCGGGGGGGCGGCCCGCGGGGGCCCTGGGGCGTCAGCGGGGAGCCTGAGCCTGGGAGCCGCCCCCACGCCGCCTCCTCCGCGAAGGCCCAGGAAGGTCTCGGCCTCCGCGGGCCCGTCTCCCTCCCGGCCCGGCCCAGGCCCCCCGCGCGGGCCTCCCTCGGCCGCGCACTCTGCGCCGTCCAGCCGCGCGCCCCGCCGGCCCGCCCCCTCGGCACACACAGCAGGGCTCAGAAGGGGGCGCTAGTGGCGAGGGGGGTGGGGAATGCCGGCGTGACCCCACAGCCGGTCCCGTCCCGGGTGGCGCCCGCAGCTCCAGGCGGGGACGCTCACTGCACCCCAGACCAGGGGCCCACGCTGTGCTGCATGATGCCGCAGCCCGCGCACACGGCGCGGACAATCGCCTCTCACCCTCTCCACGGATGCCGCGGCACCGCGCGCCCCTCGCACCTGCAGCGAGGAGCCTCTGGCGCGCCCCCCCGGCTCTCCACCCCCGAGCGAGACCCGCCAGGGGGCGGGCCGCCGGCCCCCCCCCCCGCTCACCCCCCGCCAGCCCAGCCCCGAGCTCCCCGCTGCAGCTCGCTGACATCCGAACACGTGTGCACACACGCAAGACAGTGCACCTACACGCATGCACACCCCCACACATGCACACGCCCCCGTGGGTGCGCACACGCCCCTGCCGCAGCCCCGCCGCAGACAACTTCATCAGAGGGGCAGGGGCAGGGCGGCTCTGCGGCCCCAGCGCCGTCGCCCCCCGCCCGCAGGGCCTTCAGGGCCGGGTCCCGCCGAGAGGCCCCCGCCCCTACAGACCCCCCCCGCTGAAAGGTGGGGTGGGGCGGGGGCGCCTCCACCGAGTTCTCTGGCGGACTTTCCCGTGGAGCCGTCCCGAGCCGCCCCCACCTGGCTCAGTGGCTGCCTCTCTGTGACCTTGAGAGCCACTTGGCCTCTGAGAGCCTCAATTTTCTCATCTGTCAAATGGGGGTGCCAGAGGAGGAGGGCTCGACGGAGACGCGGCCGGGAGAGCCAGCTCAGCCGCGATGCCGCCCCCTCCGCGGGCTGTCCGGGCGCAGGGCCCGCGACCTCGGCAGCTCACCCCACCCGGCCCCGGCCCCGGCCGCAGCTCCCCGCCCGCCCCCCGCCGCTCCGACCCCCCGCGCGGCGCTGGGCGCCCCGAGGGCCGGGCCCGCCTCCCGCACTCACTCTCGGGACCCACGCGGCCGGAGCCCGCGCCCGCTCTGCCGGCGCCACCTCGCGCTCCCGCCCGCCGGCCTCGCTGCGGCTGCGGCTCCCGCTCCCCGGCGCGCTCCGCGCCGCAGCCCCCGCCCCGCCCCGCCCCGCCCCGCGCCCCCTCCCCGCCCGCCCGCCCGCCCGCCCCGCCCCGCCCCGCCGCGCCGCCGGCCGCGCCTCCCGGCTCCTCGCCCCGCGCGGCCCCCGCGGCGGCTCAGCCCCCCCCGCCGAGCCGGCCGCGGCGGGCGGCGCCCTGGGGTGCGCGGGGCGGCCCCGCGGGGCGGGGGGCCAAGCCGAGGGCCGCCCCCGCCCGGCCCGCGCGCCCCCCGCCCGCCGGGCCGAGGAAGCCGGGAGGGGCAGGAAGCGGGCTGCGGGGGGAGGGGGCGCCCCGCCCGGCCCCCACGCCGGGTTCCTGTTTTCGAGGCAGGCGGTTCCCACGGGGCTGCCGCGGCGGGGGGCCGGCGCCCCTCGCGGCTCCGCCGGGCGGGCCCGGGGGGGGCTGCGGGCCCGGGCGGGGGGGCGGGGGCGGCGAAAAACGGGAGCGTCTCGGGGACAGGGGCCTGCGGGGGACGGGGACGCGGCTCCCCAGAGACGCCGCCCGAGGCCGGGGTGCGGGGCGAGCCCGGCTCCCCCCGCAGGGGCTGGGCCCGGGGCCGGGCTCCCCCGAGCCGGCGGGGGCGGCGGCGAGCGGCTCCGCGCAGGGACGCGGGCCCGGCCGGCGGGGGGAGCCTGGGAGCGGCCGCCGCGGGCGGTTGGGGTCCCCCCGCGTCAGGCCTGGGGGGCCCAGTAGCGATTTCCGGCCGTTTGCTCCAGACACACTCACTGTGAAACCGCCGCCCCCAAGCCCGCGCCTGAGACGCGCCCCGCCCTGCCCCCGGCCCGGGAGGCGCGGGCGCCCCACACCCCGGTCCTCGCGACGAGAGGCCAGAAACGGGCCCTTCCGGGCCTCAGTCTCCCCGGCGTGAGGCGAGCGGCGCCGGCCGCTCGGGAGCGCCCCGCCCGCCCGCGCCTCCCGCCTCCCGCCCCCGCGGCGCCGCCACCTGCGCGGCGACCCCCAAACGCCGCAGTGGGGCGGGGCGCGGGCGGGGCCCAGGGCGCCCCGCATCTGCAGGCCCCGCCCCGGCGCGTGGGTCCTCGGCGGCCCCAGGGGGCCCCACCCCGGCGGCCGCCCCGCCCGGCCCGCCCGGCGGCCGCTGGCCTAGTATGGACACGCGCCGGGACGGAGGCGGAGGCCGGCCGGGGCGGCGCCGGGAGCTCCGGGCTCCGCCCCCCGCCGCCCCTCCGAGGGGACGCACCTGCCCGGTGCGGTGCGCGCTGCGCGGTGACTGCGCAGCTGCCGTCAGGCCTGTCAAGAGCTAAAAATATTTCCCGGCAAGAGAATACTGAGGAGGCTCCCAAGGAAACTCGGTTTATTGAGGAGTGGGTGCAGCTGGTGAGACCCATAAATAGGGGGGGCCGGGGAGCCCCAGGGCCGAACGGGACCATGTGCTAGTCACTCGGGACACAAGAAAGTTCAGGCTGGGATATTGGGGGTTCCAGGAAGAGGTTCAGAAGAGATCCAACTCCAGTGCCCCCCACCATGAGGAGCTGGGGCTGGCCCAAGGGGTTGCCAAGGGCCGGGGTTCTGGTATGAGGCTCAGATCTCATCAGGAGCCGGCAGGCGCTGGCGGGAAGGCTCTACACCCCAGATCTCCCTGGCGTACTGGGCAATGGTGCGGTCACTGGAGAACTTTCCCGAGGTGGCTATGTTCCTGATCACCATCCGCGTCCACTCTCTTGGGTTCTGCCAGCCAAAAGGGAGCTCTGGATTCACTCTGGGGGAGGCAGGGTATCCCCACCCCCCTCCTCATCCCAGTCAAGACCACCAAAGCCGTGCCAAGCCCTGGCCCAGGAACCCTCACCTTGTACAGGTCACTGACTTTCTCCTGGCATTTAATATAGTCTTCATAATCTGCAAAGACTTTAAACCTGGCGGGGAATGGGGAGACAGGGAGCTGCATGAAGGCAAGAGCCAAGCCTACCCTGTCCCAGGGGGCTTCTGGGGACCTGGAGAATGATGCTGCTTCCAAAGGAGCTTGGTCCCAACTGTGCAGGACCCCTGCCCAGCCCCCCATGGCGCCCTTCCAGCCCAGCAGCCCCACCTCGCCAGGCTCCCCCACAGGTCAGCTCACCGGTCATGGTGCATGAGCATGTTAACGATGTCCTTGAACAGGTCAGGCTGCTTCGGGGAGAAGAAGCCGCTGCTCAGCTGCTCCATGATCTGCCGGAGCTCGGGAATCCGGTCGTAGTACTCCTGGGCGTTGTACCTGCGGGAAGAGCGTGGTCAGGGGCTCCCAGCTCCTCCTCCAGAGAAAATATGGGGAGTCCCAAGCTCCAGGGTCAAAACCCAGACCCACCCCGCAAAGGTCCTTCCCAGGACGTCGTCCCCTTTCTCTGCTCAGCTTTCCATCCCCACTGTGGTTGAGGAGACCGAGAGTGGAGAGTAAGTAGGTAGATGCCAGGGCACAGCCCGAAGCCAGACCTGCTCCCACATCACCACTGTCTCCTGCATGAGTGGCTCTTCTCTCCCCATGATCCCCAGTCCACCCCTAGCCTCACCTTCGGCATCCAGGAAGAGCCAACTGTCCAGTATTGGAAGCAACCTTAAACTCACACCAAGCGACGAGCTCACCGTGGTCCCTGCCACAGCCCATCCCCCAGCCACCCTCGCCAAGGCCAAGCTCATCTCTTTCCTCCCCTCTCCCAGCCCAGAGACCCAGGCCTCCTCCTCACCAACGGTCCTGCTCCCTATTCCCAGCGCAGCTGCTGCTGGTAACCCCCCTACATTGTAGCATCAGCCCCCAAAGTCCCACCCCCTCCAATCATTTGGGCTCCTTCTGCAGCCCAAATGGTCCTTCTGGGGCCTCCCTGGTGGCCTAGGGATTGAGTCTCAGCGCTGTCACCACTGTGGCCTGAGTTTAATCCCCAGCCAAGGAGCTGACCCACGTGGCACAGCAGACCCCTCCTGTCTCCCTGCTGCTCCCCTCAGCAGTGGATTTCAGTGGATCTGCCTATTCTGCTCCCCACTCTGTCTCTGGGGAATCCTCTCAACCCCATATCTCTGGCCTACACCCCAGTTCTTGTATGCATACTTAAATAAATCTTTAAATAAAAAAAAGGTCCTTCTGGAGC